ACTTGATTTAGATGGATATCTAAAGGGTAGCATTCTCTTTCTCAATCTGGACATTACTGTTACAGCCTTTGGTATTCTGTGACCTTGGTTAGATCCTGTGAGTGTTAATCTCATCTACTTGTGCTGCAGCTGTGGTTCAGATAGCTTGACTAACTGATTCACTAGCTTACTTAAAATGGATGATATGCCAGCACTTTGGCAGCAGAGGAAGGCATATCTTTGAGTTAGAGGCAAGCCTGGTCTACAGAGTGATTTCCAGGACAGCCAGGGCTACACAGAGAAACATGACTTAAAAAAACAAAAAGAAAGAAAGGAAAAGAAAAAAAGAAAGAAAAGTGAGCACCCAAAATGAAGATAGTGGCATGGACTTGAAGCTTGTTGATGGCAAGGGAATTGTAAAAATATATGGAATTCCCCTGAGTTACTGACTCCTATCCTAAATACCAGGTGCACTCAATACAGTGTTTAAAGTGGATGCGTGAGGTAATCCTAGTTTGATTTGGGAGTTGGAAGATTTGGCCTGTGAGCAAGCCAAAGACAATTAAATCTCTCTGTTTTTCTTTTAATTTTAAAATATGGAGATGACTAATGCTGTCTATATTTTGTTTGACTGGAGGTAAGAGATATAAATATAACTATGTAAGAATTCTTCTGATGTGTATTTGGCAACTTTCACCAAACTAAAACTTTTCCTATTCATGATGTCTCCAAAACTGGAAAGGGACATTCTTCCTTTATCCTAAGAAAGATAGGAGAAAAATTGAGATTTGTATAGCTCTGAGATATCACAACCATCAGCAGGTTGGTTTATCTTCCTATCCACAAATGTACAGTTATTGGACATATCCTGGGAAGCACTAGAGAGGGGTTATAATTCAGTGAACCAGATAAGAAAGCTTTGAATTGATTCACAAAAGCCTAATTTGCATATTTCTTCTAAGTCCAACCTCCATGAACCCAGGACCTAGGTTTTTCAGATTTCCCTGTATCTATTTTTTCCTCCTGGGGAAGTGAAGCAGATGGCAGTGCTAAGGAAACATGTGAGGACCAAATAGCTAAAACAATGCATGGACAGTCCCAGAAGTGCAAGGGAGAATGTCAGTTCTTTGTCATTTCATCGAAACCCCAACATCCCATTCTTTTGATAGAGATCTAAGACGGGACTCGTGTGTATCTCAGAGATCTGACATTGAAAAGGTTTTTAGTCATTACATTCCAAAACTGATGATGACACATCAAGACAGGAGGACTTCAAATAGCAAGAGCAGGGTTTTCATTTCCTATTCCACAACTTACCTTTGTTTCTAGGTGTATTTTCTCTCCATCCAACATCCTGACTGTCCACAGCCTATAAAAAAGTAAAGATTTGAGAACACATGTCTCTTCAGCTATTGAAGAAAAAGAGGGGCAGAGGGCTGCAATTTGGCAGTAATGTGACTGATTTTGAGAGCCTTGCTGTATTTTTCCAATATTATTTGTATGTATTGCATGTGTACAGTAAACAGTAATATTTTGAGATCTGGAGAAGCTTTTAAGAATTCCAATATATATGCTTCAATTATAGAGATTTCTGATTCATATTCCCAGAGCCTCCCCTCAGGGATCTGCATCTTTAGAGCCGACATCTCAGGTGAATCACAATCAGGGGCTTTCAAAACACCACCACCAACTCTGTCATTCATTTGGTGTTTTCCTGTTGTCAGAATGCTTACATATGTACATTCTGTTCCATGAGGTAGATGGGGACGATTATCTTCATTGTGAGGATGAAAGGAACTAAGTTGAGTTGATTTCCTTAGTTCCTCATTATACATAGCTGCCTTCTTGTTCATGCTTGAGATTCCCCTTAGCTGACCTTTTGCTGTTTGGGTGTTGATTTGCAAACCACAGGGTCCTCCCCAAAGCCAGCCAGTACTATCTGTGCCTGCCTTGCTGAAAAATGAGACAATTGGCTCTTTCCTGGAGCCAAGGAAAGAATATAATTTTATTTGTGGAAATTGAATACTTCCCTAATTGACTGTGTTGCCAATTGATTTCAAGCAATCCCTTCTGTCTTGTCAGATGTACTTTGGAGTGGGTATCCTTTTCACCTGTCTTGATCTGCGTTGTTGTTCAAATTCCAGGAATGAATCTCTCATCCCCATCCAACCAAACTGAGCTGCTGCCAGGGCTGTGTGCTCTCCCCAGTAACCCTTCGAAGCCCCTCCTCCCGTGCCTTGCCTACTGAATACTCCTCTCAACTATCTGCCACACCAGCCCCTATCTGCCAGCAGTCAGGAAGGCCTGATCACTGCCTAGTGTTGGGTTGTCAGACACACACTTCTGTTCTTCTCATGGCCCAAGTGAATCTCAGGTAGTCCAGCAGATTTGAACTCACATTTAGACAATCCCTGGGTCTCTCTGAGACTGGGCTCATTTTCAGCAGTGTTCAGGGCTGATGTCTTCCCGCAACCTCTTAGAAAATTTCTGTCTCTGCTTGCAGATCATCCATTGAATAAAGAAAGACTGGTGCTATTTGAAGACTAGTTGGAGAGACAAAGCAAACATGACTAAGGGGCACTCCCAGACAGAACGTAGCCTGAATCGAGGCTGAATACAGGTTTCTAGGATCTCTGATGCTGTGTTTCCTTGGATGACTCCAGTCTATCAGGAGCAGGGCGAGCACTTCTGGAGACAAGAGTGTACTCCAGTGTTCACTGTCCCTGTTCACATCAATCATCCCACTTCTGTTCACCCTCAAGGCAGGTTGCCTACTGAGACCTTTCTAAGCATTGAATCTGCTTTGTAGCTCTCCGGACAGAAACAAGAAATCTAGGTTCCAAAGAGATGGAAACACAGTTTGCAGTTCCAAAATGTGGCGGGGGCGGAGGGGGGGCAATATGGGTGACCAAGAGGTCATTGCTATTTTTCTCCAGTGTCCACTTCCTTCCTGAAGGAAGAATGCTACATGCTTCTTCTGGTCACCACATTGAGGGCAGGTTGCATCTCCCTATTCCCTGCACCATCCCCTTCTTTGGTCACCTAGGGTTCTTCAACAAGCCAGTGGATGTGTTTTTGTCTTGGGGGAGGGACCGGACACAGCCGACCCAAGCTGCAGTTCCCTCACTCTGCCTCTGAGAATTTCTCATCCAAACCTCAATCACGTAGGATTGCGTAGAGAGGAGAAAAAGGGAGAGACAGAAGACAGAGAGGGGGGAGAAGGGTGTGTGTGTGTGTGTGTGTGTTTGAGGGGGGGAGAGTCTGGGAGCAGAGGGCGCCCAGGAAAGGGAGCAGGACTCAAGTAC